TGTCAAGTCCTTTTCTGCACCAATCAGGCTTCAGCAACATTTGAATAACAATCTGATGAATGCAAACACACAGTCCTGATAAGAGTTTTTTCATTGTTGCTTGTTCAGTGATGAATATTTAATATTGTGTTCTAAAACTTTGAAGAAGCAGCTATACACCTAGAGTAAGAAACCTGTACACCTCATCACCAACTTCATCCTGTCCTGTGTTCTGAACAGCTGAAGTGGTCACCAACTCAGACTAGATTTCCATCTAGTCTGAGTCTGCAATGTATCTGGGACCTGCTGCAGATCTTCTTTAAACGCTTCTTTCAAGAGTTCACAAATAGAGATTGCGGACTGCTGAGTTTAATTAAGACCACCAGTTTACTCACAAAGTTAACATTGATTAGCAACAGTTGGTATGATGTCCTTCCAATGATGTCATTTTAACCCCACAAAGCAACGGTGGACTGTTATTCCTAATGAAGGGCTTGCATTATTTTATTATTATAACAAAAGCTGCCTTTTTGTCTTCGATTGATTTGATGTGTATTAAGGTCCTTAACCTGTTTCAGTAGTGTGTACATGAAAACTAGACAGTCCTTGGTGTTGAATGGAAGTTGGCACAAGAGTAATAAACACACATGTAAAAAAATCAAATGTTTTTGTATTTAAAGTTGTAAATTGTGATCTTTCTTTGCTACGGAAACTGATGAGGGATTACACATTTCATTGGCTTTCTTGTCCAGAACTGTCGGGGTCTGGGAAGTCTTTCAGGAAGTCTTTGAGGAAGTCTCACGCTATTCAAGAGGAGGACGATGATCCAAGAGACACAGGTGTAAAGGAAGGGGCTGCTGTTTTCAGCAGAGATGACACAGAGACAGAGGGTGAGTCCACAAGGCACAGAAACATGTTTCACGTCAGCCAGTTATTTCCGACAACATCCCACTTCTAAGTTGTTCAACTGTTTTTATCTATTGTTGAAGTTGTGGAAGTAGCATTCTGAATTGTCCCTCTGATGTTCCACATCCTGTATGATCCTGCATCTCATATTTCTCCAGATGTCAGGTTTTCAGTAGATTTCCACATGTGTGTGCAGGTGTAGAATCAATGAAGGTACCAGCTGTGAACATAAACACGATGGGCTTGGATACCCTGGAGGAAGAAGAAGAGAAAGCCTGTTTTTTTGCCCAACTAGAAGCAGAAGCCTCATCAACTATAGATTACTCCAAGCTGAACAGAGAGTTTGACTCAATGAGTTCTACCATCGGTTCGAATCTCAGGTATGGAAGTGGCTTTGGTCAAATGTTACGCCCACAAGACTGAAACAGATACTTGTAGTGGGGTCTCCCACTGCACAATGACAATAAGGTTGTTTTCAGACATGCACTGAACTCTGGATAATCTACGGACATTCTATGGAGGGGCTTTTAAAAACGTATATGCCCACTGATAACGTTTCTTCTCTGTCATACTTCATTTGCTTGTTGTTTCTATATGTTGTTTTCTTGACCAGCGGACAGTACAGGTTTTTCTCTTGGAAGCTGATTGACAGTTGATGACAGAAGTTCGGATGGCTTTATGCATATCGTACTCTTTTAAATGGAATTGAGAATCAGGTCCATCACATTACCAAAAAGTTTGTCAGGTGTCTGTGCAGAAGAAGAGTTAACCAAGATAATCTGAGTGATTAATTCCACAAAGGATAAAGTAAAAGTAGGATGTCACTCTGTTTTCTAACATGGGTATAAAGGCCAGAATAGTAGGTTATCCAACACAACATAAAACAAGGGATCTGACTGTCAAGTACTTCATTTTGGTTGAAATAGGAAAAATACCAGTCTGCAAAGTGTCATG